CCTTCCCCCTCTGCTCGCTGAACGATTTTTCGTTTGCGCTTTTTTTCTTATGCCAGCTTCTTACTCTCTTGCCTTTCACTTTGTGAGCTTCTCGTCTTTGTGCTCTCCCATTTTTCTCCCCTGATTCTCTTCTCCCTTCTGCCATTTCCCTATCTTCCTTCTTCCGTACCTTCCTCCTCCTCCTCCTCCTCCCTTCCGCCTGTTCCTCCCTTTTCATGTCTCGTCCCCTGTGCCCTTTGTTGTTTTCCTCCTCCATTCTCTCCTCCTCTTTCGTTTCTCTTCCTCCCTTCACACTCTCTTCTTCTCCTCTCTCTCCCTTCTTCTCCTCTCTCTCCCTTCTTCTCGTCGCCCTGTTCTCGTCTCTGCCCCCCCGTTTTCCGCTTTCCTACTCTTTGTTCCTTCTTGCTCTCCTACAGGATTTGAACCTATGACCTTCAGCGTAGAAGGCTGTTGCTCTATCCTCCGGCTGAGCTAAGCGCTCCCTCCTATGTCCTCCTCCCTTTAGGTCGTCTCTTTTCCTTCTCCCTTTGTCCTCCTGTCTTCGTTGTCGCCCTTTTCCGTCCCTCCTCCTGCCTTCTGTCTCCTCCTCATTCCCCTTCTTCCTCTTCTCTCTCTGGCAGCCGCTCTTGTCCTGATGTCTTTTCCTTCTCTATTGTCCTCCTCCCTTTTCTCCCATCTCTACTTTCTATCGTCTCTCCTCCGTTCTCTTCTTGCCCCCTCCCTACCGCCTCTAGTTTCTCCTCTTTTTTCTTCTCATCACCTACGTCTGTCTTTCTCCTTAACCTACTCCCTCCTCCTCCTCCTCCTCCTTCTACCTTTTTTTGCGGTCCTCTTCATCCCCCAACTCTTCACTCCCTCCTTTGCCTTCTACCTGTTTCGTCCTCTGAATCCCCTCCCCCCCCCTTCTCCCTGCTGGTCCTTCCCTAGTGCTCCCTTCGTCCCTATGCCTTATATATATATACTCCCCCCTTGCCATCCCCTCCTCCCCCTCCTCCTCCTCCTTCTCCTTCTTCTTCTTCTTCTTCTTCTTCTTCTTCTTCTTCTTCTTCCTCTTCTTCTTCTTCGTCCTCTTCTTCTTCTTCCCCCCGCCGGCTGCGAACGGCCCCTCCTTCTTCTTCCCCCCGCCGGCTGCGAACGCCCCCCCCTTTGTCTTCGCTGTCTATATTGGGACGTCGGCAGGCTCCTT